TAATGCTAGGGAATATTATTAGCTCTAAAGCTGGATTAGGGAATGAATTAAGTACGATTTCACTCTTATTATTATAAAATATATATAATAAAAAGAAAGTGAAGATGCTAAATTGGCCCACTTTTACCTTTCTTAATTATTGATTTTTAATATAATTTATAATAATAATAATGAAAGAAAAAAAATATTCGTAGAGGCCATGAAACACGTTTCACCACTTATACAATATGTATGTATATATATATATATATATATATTTATATATATTTACATATAAAATGATACAACCAATTTTTTGGAGAGCAATAGAAATTCGTTGATTTATTGTAAATTATTATTTTGATGATATTAAATTTGTAATAATTAAATGTAATTATAATATTTGAATCTTATAATTATTTTTTAATTGGTATTTTTCAAACACATAATTGATTAAGTTGTGATTGTGATTATTATTATTATTATTATTATTATATTGTTTATCCAAAATTATTTTTTTATTTCCAAATCTAGTTCTAAAATTTCTTAATTATAATTTAACATTTAAATTTCTAATATTTTTATATAATTATAAAAATTAAAAAAAATAATAAAGATTATGTCTAATAATAGAAACTTAGTATTAAATTTAATGTATATACTTACTTTACTTCGTCTGTATAATAGTATACCACTAACACAATTCTAGTGGTTAACATCTTAGAGATTTATCGGGTAATCACGAATTTATTTAGTATGCAAATCTCGTCATTTTATGAAAATTTTATGAACCGACGAAAATCAATTTATAATGTTATATTTAAAAAATTTAAATGATAATTCATCAGTATATAAGTGAGATGATAATTACTAAGTTGAATTTTGTTCCAACGAATTATTATGATTCTAATAAAAATAATATCTCGTGACGTCTAAATTAATGCCCCGAATCGATCTTTTCTTGAGAAAAAAAAAAACAGAAATTGCAATTTACACTTAAAAATAACACAAAAAGTCAAAGTATTATGAAATATTTCCTAAGCAAATGAATAACTTTATATTTAGTTTTCTCCTTTCTAAATAACATTTTTGTTTTTACAATTTCAAAGTGTTTAATTTTTCACTTACATAAAATCATAATCTATTCAGATTTTTTAACATGTATAGTTGTTATGACAAAACCATTATTTTTTCATGTGCAGAGTTGCTTATATATATATATATATATATATATATATATTTATGTGTGTATATATAAATATTTCATTAATTCAAGCAAAGAAAAAAAGACATGAATTATGCTGTCGTTAAACTCGGAGAAAAATGCGCTCAGAATGATAAATGGTTAAACGTATGGATGATTTCCAAAGAATATCACTCAGTTATGTTTAATATAATTTTAAATGGTGATCTGAGGATTTATTAATTTTCTTTTATGATGAAACCACCTCCAAGGATTGCATGCATGCCAGTCGATTGCGTTTCCATCTATTCATTCTTCTGCAAATGACAGATTTCTTCCTTCTTTCTCCACTCTGTTTCCTTTGAACCTAAATTTTTCTCTTTTTTGATTCATTTCTGTTTCCTCGAAGTAAAAAAGGAGAAATGGGGTTTGTTTTTCGTATGATTTTGGTTAATGGGTTTGTAGGAGAACTGTATAGATGGGTTTGATTTTTAGGAGCGTCTCTGATCTGGGAACGATTGGGAATTTCGTTCTTCACTGATTTATGGTAGGAGATGATAAAGCTTCTTCTTTTTCTTCTTCTTCTTCTTTTTTTTTTTTTGAAGTCTTTCACTTAATTTAAGAGAATGTACCTTGTGCATCTGTGTGTCTCCTGTTTCTGCAAATGAGGTGTTTGAGATATTGCATCTTCTACTATGTTAATGGGTTCTCCTCAAGCTTAGGTTCATGGTTAATTTGCTTGCCGTTTCAAGCTTTGGTTTCAACTTTTTTTAAACTTTCCAGGAAGTTTTCTCAGCCAAAATGAGAAGTTTTTAGTAAGTATCAGATTGAAGTAGGGTCATGGAAACTACATGCTCATGTTGATGGCAAGGATAGCTAAGATTCATTAGCTTCAATAGTTAATTTTCAGCTATTGTGATTGATTAGCAATTGTAAAGGGAACTGTTGGTTTTCCATAATCTGTTAATAAGATATTTATAACTGATATGAAATTATTTGATCAGGAAATTGGTATGAGGTTGCAAGTTTCAACATTACTACCTGACTGGGGGGAATACAATAAGATTTACTTGGTGGAGAACAGATTATTTAATTGAACTGAGAAGAAGATGGCTTCATTTGAAAATAGTTATGCTTCTGATGAGAAGAATGATGTATGGGCTTGGGATAAGCAAATGGAAGCAGAAACTGAGCGGCTTAAGATTGTGTATGAGGAAAAGGTATGATAATTCTCTACTTTCCTTCCTGTATCTCTTCTTTTCTCAAATATACACATAGACCACTTTGGTCAGGCACACGGATGCAGATAAATAAATCATGGCTTATTCAACAGCCAGTTTATTATCCTGCTTTCAACCATTAGTCTTTTATTGTTAGTTTTGCTCCTACTTGCCCCTAGGGATTTGCAGTTAGTAAGAGTGACAGACATCAAAATGTTGAGAGGAGTTTACGATGTTTCCTCATTCAAGTTTTCAATTTATAAATCCTATATGTGTAGTTAAAATTAATTTTAGACAACAAAAGAGTTGTGAAAGGCAAACATGCCTATGTAAATTTTTCCTTTTCATGGGAATATGCCTATGTAAGTTAATCAGGACTATCCAACAGTTTATGTGACCGGTGGATTAACATTTGTTTTCCTCAGAAAATGTCAACTCTATTGGTAATTCGGCTTGCGTTTCAGAGTCTTGGGGCCATCTATGGAGATATAGGCACATCTCCTTTATATGTTTTCTACAATACATTTCCTGACGGAATTGATAATCGGGAGGACATCGTTGGAGCTCTGTCATTGATTATATACTCCCTCATTCTCATCCCACTGTTAAAGTATGTTTTCATTGTCTGTAGAGCAAACGACAATGGTCAAGGTAAATTCTGAAGTAGAAATCTAACTTAACCTGTGTTTAATATAAAGAATCTCTTGTGGTGGATGTAAACACCAAATAGGAGCCACTAGTGCCAATATGGTTTGAGTAGTTTCCTATCTTCATACTCGATACATGGTTAAAATTGTTGGACATGCAGTTTTGCCCAATTCTAAAGTGATAAATTTCAACAAGCATCAATTTTTAGTGAAACATTGATTTTAATCACTATCTTGTCTTATTTTTTCAAGAACAAATATTCTAAATATTTCTCTTCATAATGAAGAGGGAAAGGCAATGAAATTTCTTTTGAGGTTGTGGCACATCTCACAAGATGAACGGTGAAACCACATTCTTCTGGGAACAGTCTGTGAAGATGTATGAATACTTGTTTTTTTATCTATAAGATGTTTTCTGAGTTTATCATGCATCTTGAGATTCTTATTTTGTTTTTCCACTTCTTTGTATCTCATTGTAGATAGAATATATGTGATGAGGTTACTGTGTCAAAAGGAGCTAAAGGTTTTGAAGTTAAGACAACATTGAAGGTAGAATGTCGTTGAATATAAAGTTAATTACGGCCTAGAAATTTATCCAATATAAGGTTTGCTACAGTCTTTAGGAAAAATACAAAATGGAGACTGCAAAACAAACATCTATTGACTAGTTAAAACTTAAACTAGTGATATAGCTACTTCTACACTGATAAATCACACATCCTTTATTGCTTCAATGTGGTTTATCATTCACTTCTCCTGGTTGGTCTAATACTTCTTTTCCTTTCAAATTACTGTCAATGTACTGCTAATGAAGCATCATGATGTTCGTTAAAAGTCATACATGAGAGTTATATATTCTTGTACTGCAGGTGGAACATTTGCTCTTTATTCTTTACTTTCTCGGCATGCAAATATAGGGATCATTCCTAGCAGAGACCAAGTTGATGAGAAGCTAACAACGTATAGCCGTTCTAGATTCAGTGAAAATTCATTTGCTGCAAAGACCAAGCGATGGTTGGAGGGACATGCGTGTGCAAAGAATGCACTTCTTGTTCTTGTCCTTGTTGGCTCTTGCATGGTGATTGGTGATGGAATTCTTACTCCAGCAATATCAGGTATGCTTTGCTTATTTATTGAACTTGTAGAGCTTTTTTCCTTCCATCTTAATGTTGAAAATTCTTGGGGTTTTTTTAACACCTGTATTAATTTAAAATACTGTCTACATATTTCAATTGATGATATGAGCTTGATTTAAATGCCAAGTCTCCATGTTCAACATGCCCCCACAAAAAGGTGTGGCTGTCTTCAACAACAATCTTGGAACCCATTGCATGCAATCAAATAATAGGTGTTTCATCCTATAGAAGATATGTTTGCAAAAGAGTAAGTAGCTCTACATTGTCACAGTGTACAACAGGAGTGTTGGTAGTGTAGCTCGTGTAGTAGTGACATTATCTAAGTTAGTTTGGCAGTGGTTGTCACAATTGTTTGACATTTGGTGTTCATTTAGGACCTTTCTTGGGGCACTGGCTTATAGGGGTGATATCGAGATATAAGAAGAACAAGAATAAAAATAAGGAGATGGGGAGAATAGAGAGAATAAAAGAAAAAGAATAACTGATAATAATATTCTTTTTCATATCTCCTGCAGGGTACAACCTATCATTATATTGGCTGATGTCCTTCTAGTAGGTTCTTAACTTTTGTAGCGGTCATCACCATATTCTAGTACTGTACTAAATAACAGAAAATATTCTCTAGTATTCAAATTCATAACAGCAAACAAAATAGAAAGCAGAAAAAATAATTTAAAAAACCCTTATCTCTCCTCCATTTGAGCTAGTTCTTAATACTACTCTTGTAATTTTGCATCATTAGATCTCTATCTCCACATGTCAATCTCCTGTAAGGTTATAATAGCATACTAGTCCAATTAATAAACTCACCTTGAATATTTT